CATATTACCCTCCCCAGACCCCACTTGTGGGATTATACTGGGTCGTTGTTGTTGTTGTTGTCTACTCTCATTAAGAGCTCAAACTTTGATAATTCTGTTCCTCTTGATATGGGGACTCCATCAGTTGTTGATAACTCATTTTATCAACAAATTAAATTGGGAAATGGGGTTCTTGAAATTGATGAGCAAATAGCATTAGATCCATTGACAAATAAAACTGTGGATGATATAGCCAAAGTGTCTGATTTTTACACTTAGTTTGGAAAGGCTATATGAAATTAGGTAAAGTTGAAGTACTAACTGGAACACAAGGAGAAGTTAGAAAAACATGTAGGACTGTGAAGAAGAAGCCATTCATTTTATTTTAGGGATTAATTAGCAGAAGTATTTTTTGGGAAGGGGAACGGAAACGATAAATCTACTGATGATTTATTGGGTGTTGTTTTGTGTTTTTTGTTTTCTTGGGTTAGTGTGGGAGGGGGTGGGGGGTCAAGAGGAGACTGTTTTTGTTATTGTACTGTTTTCTTATCTACTGATGATCCATAGCATTTGTTTTCTTGAGTATTATTGTACTGTTTTTCTTATTTTTGTTTTTGTGTATTGAGTAGTAATATGATTCTTAGTGAAACTATTTTTCAGCTTAATGAAGAAAAAGGGAAATGTAATTCTTTTCTACTTATTGTAGTTTGCTGTCATGCTATTTTTCTTATCTTGTTTTATTTTTTTTATTTTTCATTTTGGTTGGACACAAAGAACAATAAGAATGAGTGGTTGTTTATAACAAAGTTGGTCAACTGTTATAACCTCTTTCGATTTAGACAGCAGACCAAAAGTTGCATATTAATAAGAAACTTGTAAAGACAAATCTATAGAAAATGAACAGCCAATATCATATAATGATAAGATTACCAACAAACAAGAAAGAATGAAAACATTACATACGAATCTGTTTTGCACATGAGTACTGAATTCCGAGGTAAAGTTTTATTTAGAAATTCGACGAGCAACAATGAGATCCTAGGATAAGAGACCAGCCTCGATCTTCTGAACAGTAGCAACATCAGTCTTGAATGACTTAGCGAGAATCTGATTATCAACAATAGTAACAAACAATGTTGTAAAGGAAGTGAAACAGTTCAGCATTTGCGCTACCAATTGCAGAAACAACTATAGCTGATTTATTGATAATGTACTAGTCCTTTTGGAAACAGAAACATGTCCCCGAGCTTGTTAGTACTGTCCCTCAAACCTGCTACACTACTTTCACTAGCCAACTTGAGGAGACCATTGAAACTTTACTTTCTCTTCTTATTGACATTCAACATTCTCTCCTCAGAATCTCCTCTATTTCTCGTACATTTTACAGTACATTTACAGTTTGCTCTAACCGTTCACGTCCAGAAGTTCAGATTATTCAATACAGAAAGTCCTGTCGTCTTTTGCATTCTGTTGGCCAAACGCAAGCAGAGCAGAAAGGCCTAATAGAAAGTCCCTCATTCTCAGAGTAACTTAAAGATCTCAACAGTTTTCCCTTCTCAACAACTCGGAAAAACCAAACTGAAAACAAAAGAAAAGGATATGTTAGAACACTTAGCCAATCATGGTTTTATCTCCCTGCGAAAATGATTGCTAAACTTAGTGCCAAGTGAAGAAGTTTCAATATGTCAAGGGAGCCAAGATGCCATTTCATCTGTGATATTACTGATTTTACGATTAATCAACAACTGAAGTTTTCTCAATTACTCACAATGTAGTATAGTTCTAATCTCTGATGCAAATCAATGCTGATTTTCAAGTTCGGAGCTGCCACATGAGGTTGACTCAAAAAGGGAAAGGAAAAAAAACACAAACAGATAAAAATGAAGTTGGAAGGTGGCAATTTAATATCCATTCAACTATTCTCTAGAAGTTCGGAAAATGAGAAAATTCATCAGTATTACCTATCAAATGCATGGTGGTTAGAAACTCAAGATCAAAATGAACAAAGCAATACGTGATGAAAAAGAACTGAGTTTCGAGATCTTCATCCATATATTTTGCTTTCCAAGCTTGATGAAGTCTTCTTAAAAGGAAAAAATAACTAGTAAACAAACAAGGAGAAATACATAGGAAGGACATTACAGACGATTTACTGACAAAATAGCCTATCTTAATAAGAGGATAGAACTTTAGGTGGCATACCAGATGATGTGACCATCAATCCAAATGCTGAGCCAGTCTCGCCTTTGCGCAGACACATAGATGCATACTGAAGTGATGGAGAAGGGCAACTCTCCTTGTGTCCCAGGGCAGATGATGGTACAGAGATGGCCACCACTTTACAGCGATCCGATACGATCTGAGTGTGGGCGAGGATGTGCACCAGATTCCGCCAATTCACCAAGTGTGCATTGACTACAACAATTACAAACAAATTACAGGTTGGCTAGGTTTTGGTTTCTACTCTTAGTTTTATATATGCATAAACAAACAAAGAATTGAACATTTCTATTAGATGAGCTATACCCAAGGAAATAAATTCTAGATATTTAAAAATTTATATTGTTTTTGTTCAACTTTCGTGCTCCACCGGACACATAAGACTCAAGATTCGAAATGCATCATTTGGACCACATATATCCAAACAATGAAGTAGAAGAAGTATAGGAGATATTATTTTAGACAATCTGACTTTCAACTACACTGCCAATGGCTGATAAATTGCATTAGTGTTAACTATCAAAAAGCAGAGGTAACAAGCAATTTGAAAATCATGATATATTTTTACTTTTCTTTTGGATCAGTGAAAATCAATAGATCTATTACTACTTAAAAGAACAAGATTATTTTGCAAAATCACTTCAAGCAGTTTTTCTACAGGGATAAGGCAAAAATGTACCTACACCAATTGAGCTATGAGCTGTAATAGATTTTTCAAGTAAGATCACTCATATTTCAAAAGACTCTGCACATTCGGCTGACATATCTACGTATGTTTATGGTAAAAAGGTTTCTAGTTTGTTAAAATTACATTTTTCTTAGAACTTCCAGCTGTTAAGTTTGGCAGAAATCTTTTGTCCCACATCGGTGGGAAAAGAATGGTTGGGGGATTTTCCCCCTATAAAAGAAGGCTTAATGTTTAGGATTTAAACACACCTCTCATTTGCCTTCTCATTTGTTTAAGGCATTTGTATCTTCTCTCTTTAGTATTATTTCACTTGTATTTTTGGAGTGGAATAAAATATTGGTTGTGTCCGAGGAGTAGGCAAAATTAGCCGAACCTCGTAAATTCTGGTGTTCCCTTTATTGTTGCTTTATTGTCTTATTTATTATTTGGTGGCTGTCATAATTTTTGGTATAGCAGTTGTGACTTATTCACACTATATACATTTGGCTTCCGCAACACTAGCCTATACTATGTCTTTTCTTTTCTTGCAATGAATAAAATTTGTGTAGATGACATACCTTTTTTTGTCACTGAAGATGCATTACTCTATCCATATCCTCCTTGCTCAACTCACTGAAAAAAGGGAAAGAACAACAATACATGAACTAAAAATCTACAAGTAAGATGAAGAGTGAGATATTTTTCAGAAGAATACATGAATTGCAATTATATGTGCTAACTACTTTCTAGAGGAAATTATTAATCCTATTTATAATAAGTTTTTGTCATAATGTATAAAGATTTCTGTAGTTGCAACATATATATTAGTAACTCTTTTGACAGCTAAACTTAAATTTTATTTCGAGCAAAGATGCTTCCTCGGCTTCACAGTGCAAATTGATGCTACACACTACTCAAAAAGACATAACGAATAAAAGGAATTAACACGCAAGCAAAGCAAAGTAGTAAAAACTTGAAAGACGACTACTGATGGAGAGAACAACTTACATTTATCATAGCACCATTTGATTTAAATGTTACATGCATTCCTCATCTAATCATATGCTGAAAATTTGAGCAATTTCTAGCCAGTATTCCCCCTTTTCGACTTCTAGACGTGGTTTGAGAAGTGGACCGGAAGGGATTGGATGCTCGGAGAATTGTCGACAACATCTCAGAAATAGAGGAAAGTAATAGATAAAAAGAACCTTCCATGGTGAAATGACATTGTATCGTTGTCAAATCATTCTCAAAATAGAGAGAAGTGACTGATCATACTGTTGTCAAAATCCTGATAAAATAGAAGAAAAAAGCAAAGTTGTTCTTAATTTGCCATTATACCATTCTACAAAAGATTTTTCTCAACATACATATAAAACTGAAAAAAAGGGGTCCTTATAAGGTAGTCTAGTAACATGCATATACAACTAAAAAAGATCAAGCTATAAGTGATGTACCATCAAATCTATATGCTGACTATTCAGAGCAATGTATAAACTGTGGAAAACGTAGAGCTTGTTGTCAGACTTTTCTATCACAAAATTGCAGGCCTACTTTACTTTGGACAAAGAAGCAGTGCTGGTAGTTAAGAGCACTGGATGTTACTAGCAAATGATAGTCATTTTAATGGAAGAAACGTCTGTATCAACATTGCATGCTATTTGCTTCTCAGACAGATGAAGAGCAGTAGTACTGTCAAATTCCAAACAAACGAGAAGTACCTATTTTTCTCATCTAACATCACAATTAATCCTGAGCTGAAGATGATTTCTCAGCTTCAAAGTGGCATTATAAACTCCACACTGCTCAACAAGATTTAACAAAAGGAAAAGAATTAACAGAAAAGCAAAAAGAAGTAATGAAAAATAGAAAGCTACTTGAAAAGAAAAAAAGAAAAAGAATAAACTTNAAACCAAAGAAAACTCTTATTAGGCACATGGTCTAATACTTCTTCAATGAGATGGACCTCATCATACATCTGATGTTAGAGCACCTTCATTTTAATCATCACAGGTATTCCCAATTGATCCTTATGGTGGGAATTTGAGCAATATTTGGCCGGTAATCCCCCTTCTCAAATTCTAGGAGTGGTTTGAGCAATGGGCAGTTGTAAATATCTAGTTCAGAGATGGAAGAGGGCATCCCTTTTACCGGAAGAGATTGGAGTTTAGGGCAATCCCAGATTTCCAACTTAGAGAGGGAAGAGGGCAGCGCTGATTCTGGAAGAGGTTGGAGATTACCGCAACAACAGATAGGCAGCTTACAGAGGAAGGAAGGCTTTCTTTTTACTTGAAGAGATTGGAGATTAGGGCAACTCTCGATGGTCAGCTTAGAGAGGGAGGAGGGCAGCGCTGATTCTGGAATAGACCGGAGTTGATTGCATTCGCCAATAACTAGACATTGAAGCGAAGTAAGGCATCGAAGACCTTCCGTCGGTAGTGAATGGAGCTCATCATGGCCATTTAATATAAGCTCAGAAAGAGACAAGGGAAGCCCTTCTTCTAACAGTGACTGAATTTGAGGTAAATTAGAAGTCATAAGACTTTGAAGAGAGGTGAGGCTTTTGAGAACATGGCTGCTTAATGTTTTCAGATTGTCTATCGAAAGAGTTCGAATAGAGCAAGGCACCTCCCAATTTTCACCAGCAGGAATCTCTTTGTCACTACCATCATGTTTGATGTATAACTCTGTGAGACAGGGGAGTCTCTGTAAACCCCACTCCTTTCGCCCATTCACCAGTTTCTTGCAAAGCTCGATCTTAAGGACTTCTAAACTGAAGGGCAATCCTCCTTCGGGAAAGGACTCTATTTCTGGACAATCATACAGTTCCAGTTTCTTAAGAGATGGTAGGAGTTCCTGCATATGTTCTGGCAGCGACTTCAGCTTCTCGCAGTTGCAAATATACAAAGTACGCAACGGCGTCATTTGAGCCACCGAAAGTATTTCAAGATTCTCACATCTATCATAAATAAAGGAGAAATCATTTATTCTGAGTTCTTCAGTCCCGTTGGGAATCAAAAGTCTGGTAAGGCCGTGGCAACTTCTTACACTCAAATAGCGTGCTTGTGGGACCAACTCAGGTGATATCTCATCTATAGAATCACATTTATTCAGTTCCAATTTATCCAGAAACATGTTACTTCCTATGGAAATCATATCACCAACTGATGACTCCAATTTCAATTTCCCACAATGATTTATCTCTATTTTCTTCAAGGTATTTGGCAGACTGCTTAAAGGCAAGGAGGTAAGAGACAGACAACCACTTATGAATAATTCAACTATCTGTTTCATTCCCTGAAGTTGAGACAAAAACTGTTCAGCATGATTAAAGAAAACTCCAACCTTAGGAGAACCTTTAATTTTAAACTCTTTTAGAAATGAAAGTTGGATAGGTGTCTCCGGATTGAGTTTCGGACAATTTGAAATTGTCAATTTTGTCAAAGAACAAAGATTTTCAGGCAACTTTCCAATCAACTCGGGACAATTCTTAATTGAAAGCTCTTGAAGCATAGGGAACTCCCCATTCCCCAATAAATTCCACTGCTTCCACTCCAACATCTCTGCAAATTTAAGCATTTCAAGAGACATAAAAGGTTTTTTGGAGGACGAACTACCATAGAATTCGTCAGTCACCTCTTTTATTCGACGCATCCCTCGAATTGCAAGGAATTTCAAAGAAGGAAGTTGTCCTAATGATGGCAAGGAATAACAGTCCTTGCAGTTTCTTAGAGACAATTCCACTAGCTCAGAAAATGAATAATCAGCTAGCCAAATTGGAAAATGTGTCCCTCTATACCCGTTGATCTCAAGTTCTTTTATGTTTGGATTTGGATGCAGCTCACAAAGTATGTCTCTTTCATTTTGTGAACTGTCGGCCACATTTTCAATACTTACACTCCACTCCAATGATAACTTTTCAATATGTTCCTTTCCTCTCATGTTTGCCTTCAAAGCTTCCCTTCTGTCGGCCACATTTTCAATACTTACACTCCACTCCAATGATAACTTTTCAATATGTTCCTTTCCTCTCATGTTTGCCTTCAAAGCTTCCCTTCTGTCGGCCACATTTTCCAATCCTAGAATAGATAGAGATCCATACAAGTTATGTAGTTCACCCAAATCTTCCATTCTTGAACCACTGCGATCACCTAGATGAAATTCAGCTCCCAACAACACATGGAGGCTTTTCAACTTGCTCAAATATAGCGGCATCATCAAGCGAGAACTGCCGCTAATGTCAAGGTGACGCAAGTTTATCAACTTTTCCATCTGCTGCGGTAACTCCTCAAGGAATTCACAAGTTGATAAGAGAAGTGTCTCTAAGTTATAGAGTACACAAATGGAATCTGGTAACTGCTTTATCATTGTCCAAGAAAGGTCCAAAAATCTTAGGAGCCTTAATTTGATGAACAAATCATTTGGTAACTCTTTGATATAATAACCAGACAATGAGAGTGCCCTTAAGGATGTTAGTCTTGGCAATATATTATGCAACACTCTCTTGCTTAGAGTTGGACCATAGATATTGATGATGGGAAGTAATGTCCTCAGCTGCTCCAACTTGTAGAGAGGTTTCAACTTTTCAAATTCACCACCATATCCCCTTGAATATGATAGGTGTCGACATCTTCCCAACATATCAGATCCTTTGTTATATTCCAAATTGATGCAAAGTTTTGAAGATGTAACTTGGGCCAAATCATTGACAAGGTCATGCATTAAGAATTTCTCGGTGTTCCCTTGAGAGTACCTTGGGACCCTTTCAAACAATGATCTTGATCGCAACTCGAGAAAGTATTGGTTACCCGAATCTTCAATTATTTTTTCTTTTTGCAACCGTTGCACGAGACCATTAGCAATCCAGAGTTGAATAACTTGTTCTTTGCCAAATGGATAATCCTTGGGAAATATTGCACAATAAGAAAAGCATTGCTTTAAATGCATGGGAAGATCATTGTAGCTCAACATTAACGCCGGTAATATACCATTGTCTGGCAGCTCCCATACTTCACTTCTCAAAATGTGTCTCCACTCTTCAACCTCTGATTTGTACCGTAACAAACCAGCTAGTGTCTTTAGTGCTAAGGGCAAACCTTTGCACTTAGCTGCGATTTGTTTCCCGGCTTCTACATGTTCTAGATGTTCCTTAGTATCCATGTTCTCAAATGCATGTCTTTTGAATAAAGACCAAGAGACATCACTAGACAAATTATACATGATAATTTGCTCATTACTCATCGTCTTGGCAACACTTTCCTTACGTGTCGTCACAATGATCGTACTTCCTGCATCTCCTTGAATAAAAATATTTTTCAAGTCATCCCATGCATTATAGTTGTCATTCCAAACATCATCCAGAACGATAAGAAATTTTTTGTCCTTTAAGCTTTCCTTCAATTTGACCTGTAGCTGATTAAGATTGTTATCGTCCTTTAAGTCAAATGAGCCAATTTCTTGAAGTAAACCTTTTGTTATTCTAAAAGCATCATATGGTTCAGACACACAAAACCAAGCTTTCAAATCGAAATAGTCTTTTACCTTCTCATCATTGTAAACAACTTTAGCAAGTGTTGTCTTGCCAACCCCAGGCTTTCCAACAATAGGAATTACTTTCAAACTTTTACCATTTGTATCAACAGATAATAAACGGCCCACCAATTCCTCTATTTCATTTTGCCTGCCAAAGATTTCAGATTCATCAACCAAAGATGTTGAAGGCACTCTAGTTTCTTGTTTACTAGAAACGAGATAGTCCTTTAGGCCAAGCCTACCAATTTGCTTTTCCAACTCCTCCAAAGTTTCAGTGGTGCCTTCCAACTTTTCCTTTATGTTAAGAAAAAATTCATCACTCAAGCACAAGTTGAGACCACTTACTTGATGGTTGCTTGTTTCTGCATGATTTTGATGCTGACTTTCCACCTTAACTCTCAGAACTTCATAATTGATTTCTTCCATTAAGTTTTCAGCACTGTCCACAGCATCCCGAAGTTCATTAAGCCACTGAGTCACGTATCGATTTGATGTCTGCTTATTCTCCGCATCACTTAGCACAACTTGAAGACCAAGTAAAGTCATCTTCAACCTCTTTAGCAGTCCAACATCATGCTTGCTCCTTTGGAACATCTTGAGCAGCTCACCCTGAGGTGCAAGCCTATCAAAGAGAACATTCAAAGCTGAAGATAGAAATGCACCACCAACTGCTAAGCCGATCTCCATTTCTGAAAGCTGCAAAGCAAAACAAGAAAATCAGATAATGATTAAGAACTTGCAGAAGATTAATAATTCTATCTAAACATACTCTTAGTTTTACCTGTTGAATGCTCAGTCCGTTCTTTAGCAAAATTAACTTGTGCCTCTTAGAAGACCTTACATCTCTCTCTTTCTTTCTTTTCAAAAAGTAAGACTAACTCTTGCATTATTGCTGAAATTCTGATAAAACTCTACACTCTACATTCTAGAAATTGTCTACGTTGACTTTGTATTTTAATTACTAATAGTTAACACTCAAGTAGCATTGACTTTGTATTTTAATTACTAATAGTTAACACATCAATAGCACTGACTTTGTATTTTAATTACTAATAGTTAACACATCAATAGCATTGACTTTGTATTTTAATACTAGCAAATTGGAAGAAAATTACATGTTCTGACCTGTACACCTCGTCATAATTGATAAAATAAAATTCACAGTCTTTACCTACCTTGCCCTGTCTCGTCATTGCCTTGCTCAGAGAAATTGTTGGGTGATATTATTTTATTTTTTTTATGTTTTTTCCTTATGGGAAATTACCAGCTATGTACATTTATAGATAGCTTATTACAAAAATTGGCCAATTGATAAAATATTACTAATATTAGCCAATTAGCTATTTGTAGCAAAAAAATATCAAATTTTTGCTTTGTTTTGAGTGAGTGTTATTAGAATGGATTAGGCACAACTTAAGGAGCTTGAATCTCAGTTTTGGGATGATTTGGGGAAGTTTTGAGGTGGTTTGAATTGAAAATTCGGTAAAAACTGAACGTAAAAAAATGATATGTGTATCACACTGTGTATCATTTGTGTATCACATATATATTATATTTGTATCTATTATGTATCACATGTATATCCAGAGTTGGATGAACTGACCAGATTTGAGTGTTTTAAACTTGGGGGACAATAACTTGATTGGAGGCTTACCAATATCCCTGGAGGTTTTAAGTAATTTGTATTCTTTGGACTTCTGAAGAAATAGACTTACTTGTTCATTACCTTCATCATTGGCAAACTATACAAAGTTGCAGAAAATTGATTTAGCTGAGAACGAATTTGTAGGACAACTACCACCGTGGTTAGGAATGAAGTTTTCAGATTTGATAATCCTTAGCCTTAGCTCAAACAAATTCTATGGTGAATTGCCTCCAGAAATTTGTCACCTCAAAGATCTTCAAATCGTAAACCTTGCAAACAATAGTTTCTTTGGAACTATACCAAGGTGTATTAGCAATTTAACAGCAATGGTCGCCGAAGATAAGTTGGGGGAAGCTGATATTGAGTATGGTCAGTATTTTGGAGAAATTGTGAGAGAAAGCACAATGGTAACAACTAAACGCAATATTTACCAGTATGATAAAACATTGGCATCGGTTACAAGCATGGATATGTCTAACAATAATCTCTCTGGAGATATTCCCATAAGTTTTACCAGTCTTATAGGATTGAGAATCTATAATTTCTCAAAAAACCATCTAACAGGTAGGATCCCATATGGCATTGGCGACATGAAAGTGCTCGAATCCCTTGATCTTTCAGAAAATCAACTTTCCGGTTAAATCCCGCAAAGCTTATCGAGTTTGTCAACTTTGAGCTTCCTGAATCTATCTTATAACAATTTGTCAGGAAAAATACTAGTGAGCACTCAACTTCAAAGCTTTAGTTCCTCGAGTTTCCAGGGAAATGAGCTTTGCGGGCTTCCACTCTTCGCGAACTGCAGTTTAGGTGGTCAAAATCTTGATGGCGATACTGAAAAAGATGAGAGTGATGAAGATGAACTGGATTGGTTCTACATTGCAATGTCAATAGGATTTGGTCTTAGCTTTTGGGGAGTATGTTCTTGTTTGCTTTTCAAGAGATCATGGAGACATGCCTATTATCGTTTTTTAGATAGTTGTTGGAAATCCTTGTGTGTAAAGTTACAAATATGGGGATGGCTATGATTGAGGAGATTGTTATTCTTGTCACACCTACTTTTTGCACGCCCGGCCCCGAAGGGTTAAATGCGCGAGGGAGTTTTTCCAATTTAAGTGACAATATTCGAAATGGGATTATTTATTTAATTCAGAGTCGCCACTTGGAAAAAGTTTGGCTTTTGGTGTCCCAAGTCACCGGTTTATCTTGAATCCCAAATCGAGGAAATTTCGACTTTTCCAAATAAAGTCTGCGAACCAGAAATTCTAAGTAAGGAATTCTGTTGACCCGAGGGAAGGTGTTAGGCACCCTCGAATCCCATGGTTCTAGCACGGTCGCTTAAATCATTATAATGGCTAAATATCTGATTTAAATACATGTTATAACTTGTGTGTTTTTATTAAGTTTAAACCGCTTTTATAATTATCATTTATTGTTATAGAATTGCAACGTCGTGAAAATGCATCTCGAACCACGTCACAATCAATGCGCCCGTAGTTGTTAACACATTTCGACTCCGTTGAGGTTTGGATTCGGGTCACATCAATGTGCACCCGAGTTTAAGAATGTAATTTAATTAAGCCGCGCCTAAAGGGCCTAACGCGTTATTATCTTTGGGAAAGGCCATGAAATTTACTAAACAGCCTGTCCTGGATTCTAAATATTTATTATGTTTAGTTATTGAGGGCCCCGCAATTTACATTTTTATTTGGCGAGGCTCGTCTCTATTTTAGAAAGGATATCCTAAAGCGACTACATTTCTAACTGCGTTTTGTCTAAAAATAGGAGAAGAAAGATATATGTTAATTCAAGTATATGATTTGGCCTAACCCGGATCCTTATCAATTTCTGATTAATTATTTATAAAAATGGAGAGACGCCATACCTTGTGAAACATGCTTTAATTGGACAAGAAGTTACATACGAGATTAACGAAATACCACACTTAATCCGAACAACGTCCTTAAGTCGGATTAAAATTAACTTGCTTCAGCAGGATTAATAGAATTCCTTATTAAAGGAAAAACTAGTCCTATAGACTGCCTATAGAAATTGAGACTGAGTGATTCAAAACTGCATTATATTTGGCTAGATTTAACAGCCATTTGCCCCTACCTATTCAAAGCGAGCTGAAAGAATGAGTTTAATTTTAACAATCATATTAAATGGTTTCACATTCCATGAACTGCATTTACTTCCTGTATGCTACTTAAACGAATCAAATACCACAGTTTCAGATCAACATAAACATTAATTAAGTATAAACTTACTAATGTATTCTCTATTAGGCTACAAATTAAAGGATTTATACATCTTTAACAATATTCGCAAAGCTGTAAGTAAGGCAACAGATGATTAAAATTTCTTCAGATCTTTCGATTCAACTTTCATTGCGACATCAGTTACATCAGACAGATTCGAAGTGTGTACCTGAGGAGATGCTTACAATGAAAAAAGCAAGAGAGTCAGTTGAGCAGCAGTGCAAGCGAAACAGCAGCAGTAATAGACAAATAACAGTAGGGCAATTTGAACAAAAAACCCAGTGCAAGAGGCAAAATGGCAGAATGACAGCAATGACCAGTAGTATAGAAACAGAAATCCAGACAATCCAATTCCAAGATAATCAACCAATGCAAACCAAACTAACACACTTAGCTGATACTTGAAAAGAAAACTGACTGAATAGGCTGAGCAGGCTAAGAATTGAACAAAAGCAGGAAGAAAACCAGTTTCTGATTTCTGTATCTTTATCCCTCTTACTATCTATTTCTTTTCAAAACCCAATGTCCAATTTCAGTCTTGAAATCTATTTTTGGCTATCCAAAAGAATTCTTTTCCAGTTCTTTTTTCTGTTTTTCAGAACTCAACTCTCCTCCAAATGTTCCCTCTCAGTTCACTCTGTTATTATCAATGTCTATCTGTGTGTGTGTGTGTATATCCAAAAATCTCCTCATGTGTCTCTCTATTATCCCCCTTTTACTGATGGAAATCCCCCCTTTTATGAACCTAAAATCAGCCTTTTAACAGCCTGTTTAGACAATTAGAATACCCCTCCCATGTGCTACCCTCTTTTCAGATTCCACTTAGCTATTTAAGTATAAACCCCCCATGATATTCCCTGGCAGACTTACTCTTTTAAACGAGGTTTAATACTTCTTAAACTAAAGCAGGGTATGGGCAGCAGAATATAATCTGACAGCATATGCTGTCAAATTATTTTAATCAGAATGGCTCTTATGCACATGTTGTGCACTGAAGCACATGCCCTCCAATTCAGGTTGTAACTAACAGACCAAAACTTAGATTTCTGAAATCAAATTAACAACTATAAGTTACTAAACCCAGTCTCTAATTGATTCAGGCAATGCTTAACAGAAGCAGGTCAATTGGTTATTGTTCGGACAACCGAAACTAATTGACGACATATGTCGACTCGACTATACTAATCATAACACGTACAATTGAAACCAAAATCAGACATTTAACAGTATCGAACACATGACTCGAATCATACTGACCAAGCAGAATTGTACTGGGGAATCAGTTGATCAGTCAAATTTGAGGTTCGACTAATTGCACAGCACACACATATACACATTATTAGTAAAAATAGAAGAGGGATTCAATCAATCACAGAGGTTCAGGTAAGGTGGACAACCAACAGTTGATAAAAATTCAAAGACACAAATTACACAAGACATTCGGCCATACGAATAGACCTTTAAACTACACACGTACTGAATAACAATGAGAAAACAAACTTACCTTAAAAACTTTGAAAACAGAAAAATCAACTCGTTTGAAAAGACCCTTCTCAAGGTTGAACGGAATTTAATCGAAGTGTTTCTCAAATGAGAAACACTTCGATTAAAGTCCATTAGACCCTAATCTCTTGGTTCGAACAGGCACGGAACAAGCACGAGGAAACCTAGGGTTTTAGAGGGCAGATTTGGGTTTTGGGCTTTCTTGGTTAGATTCGGACCAAACCAAGCATGGTTT